GAAGATGGAAAATTTTTTTTTCTTTTCTTTTTTTGTATAAGTAAGGGATGCTGTTAAACTATCTTGCTGAAATGGTAAAGATTTTGGGTATTTGAAGAACTAATTAAATGAATAATTTTTATTAACACGGAGGAGATGGATTGTTTAAGTTTAGAGTTTGGAGTTAGAGATATTAATATTTGTTTACTTGTATTTGAATATTAGATTAGGTTTGGTTTGGGAAGTCCGGAGGGTGGGGGGATGGGATAAATCATTGTGTAATACCTGTGATGTATTTCTTTTTTCTTTTATGATAAAAACAATAAAATTTTATATTGAAAAAAAAAAAGAAGACCATGAGATCGACAAGATCTAAATATAAGTAAACAAAATAGAGAAAGAAAACAGAATTTTTTCAGTGAATATAAATGGACTGAACTCTCCATCAAAAAGAAACAAAACCTTTAAAAAAATTACAGAAATTAAATATTGATATAATTTGGTTGCAAGAGACACATATAAAAAAACAATACTATAAACTTTTGGAATACCCCAAAATTGGGAAACTTTACTATGCATCAGCATAACAACAAAAAAGAGGCGTAGCCATATACGTTAAAGAGACAATAGACTCCAAAATGATTTATTCAGAAGAAGAAGGAAGAATTGTGATGGTAGAAATAAATTTATATCAAAACCAAACATTTTTAGTAATAATATATGGACCAAATAATAAACAAGAAGAATTTTATCGAAATCTTCATAGAAAAATAGTAGACATGGAATACCAAAATATTTGTCTAGTAGGAGATTTTAATGCAATAGTAGATGGGACATAAAAGTGGCAAAACAAGAAAAAGTAGAAGAAAAAGATTACCTAAGACATTTTTTTAATATGATAGAGGAAATTGGGGTATAAGATACCAGAAGAGAAACTAACTCAGCAAAACTACAATACACATTCTATTTGAACAACCATAAATCCTGGTCCAGAATTGACATGATTTGGATGACACCTGAATTAAGAACCCATATGCAGGAGATTGAGATAGAATTAGGTACATGGGCAGATCATAACCCTTTAAAGATGACATGGAAAGCAATACAAAAAACAAATAAACCCTTAAACCTTAAACAAATGGACCTTAAACAAATCCATATTTAACAAAAAAATAATTTATAGAATTAGCAACAAAAGAAATGGAGTTCTTTTTTAAAGAAAATAAAAAAGAAGATACAACATTACAAAATGTATGGGATACAGC